AAAGGAAAAAAAAAAATAGAACACCTTGAACAAAATATTTGTAAATTTGAAAGACAGCTATGTGTTGTCTTGTAGTTGGGCTAAACCTCTGGTAACGTTTTTGTAATAAACACTGTAAATAGGGAAAAGAGCTTAAGTCGTATATTTTTAGTTGAATTAAGTAAAAAGATTGGGAATTATTATTTATTACCTGTGAAGCCCACGCGGGAACCTTCATACTGACTTCGAAAACTGCTGCTCCACAAGCTACTGAGATTGATCTTCGTGGTTCAGAGACGGGCTGTTTATACTCTTCAGAGTTTATCGGTGCATGAACCAGCTGTGTTTTGTCAATTATTTCGCTCTTTATATGATTTTCCAATAGCTACACAAAAGTAAGTTGAGCATCAGCTAAACTCCAAATGAAAAATCAAACTAACAAATAAATAGAACTACTACTACTAGTAATAGTAGTAGTAGTAATAATAATAATAATAATAAAGGAAAAATATGAACCTAAATAAATAACTCAAAATAATGTAATCAATGAATTACCTGATCATCGAAACACGTCTGAGCACTTCCTGAAACCAAAAGGGAAATGTGAGCTGAGCTACTGGTTGACAAATCACACCGCATGGTTACAACCCCACGAGAAAATGTGGCAGCTTGAAGGGGCGGAGGAAGAGCGCTGAACCAATAAACATAATTTTAAGAACAAAAACATTAACTGAAAATTAGGGTCAAAAGGTGGATACTTGGATATAAGATGTTTTGATTTTGTTTTGATTTTTTTTGTTTGGAATGGTTAATTTTGAAAAAAAGTGGTATGGTTAGTTGTTTAGTGAGATTTTGAGTTTATATTAAAATAATATTATAATAAAATAATTAAAGTTAATTTGATGTAAAAGTAGGAGAGAGATGATGTGAAGTGATGGTTAGTTAAAATTATGTGAGTGGGTTAAAGTTGATGTGATTTGTAAGAATGACCAAGTAGTATTATTTAATTATATTGATAATATCGAGGATGGTGGGGTTGAGTTAAAAGTTGAGTTAGATTTGATTATTGCTTAAAAACGATTGGATTTTTTTGGAAAAAATTGTATCCAAGAAGATGCATAAACATCAATTACGCTGAAGTTTCGTCTAATTAGAAGTTCCTTAATTGAGTGCTCGAGCGAGTGGTATATATAGGTCAAGAGGATATTTGAACAATTTGTGGTTTTGAAAGATAATTGGGGCCTTCCATAATTTGACCTGAACTTATATTTGAAATTCTCTCTGAAACATCTGACTGCATATGAACATCAAGCCAAGTGGAAATATAAGCAGACACTAATGACCAAGTGTTGCATATAGATTTGCATGACATACATACCTCACCCGGTTATGAAGTTTGCTCCCCCGCATCTGAATTAGAACAGTGTGAAAATAAATAATCAACAGGTCAAACTGAGACTTGACAAAACTGAATATTGTGCACAAACTGCAGATGAAGAAAATTTGTTTTATTACATCACGGCTATGTGTGAGACTTACTTCAACACTGAGAAGGGCATTTAGACCGTCTTCCAAAGAGCTCAACAAGCCAGCATCCTGAAATAATATTTTAACTTTCATTAGTTGAAATGTCCGAATTTTCAGGGCTCAGTTGCTCAATATACCCCGGAATCAGTCTAATTTCAGAAATTAATCATCAATCTATCAAAATTACAAATACTCTCATGACGTTTATTCCTACTTCCCAATTTATTTGTTAAGAAAACAAAAACCCCGAGTTTGGACTTGCGTTTAATTTATGGATATTTTTAAATGTTGTATTTGTACTTTAATTAATATATTTATGTAAAAGGTCAGTAATTAAATATTTTAGATAATTTAAAACATGCAAATGTCTAGACTAATTGATGCAATAACTGATAAACATCAATATATGAAAATGTGTTTTTGATTTATCATTCCCCTTATCCTTGTAATTTCGAACATCTTTGAGATTTTATAGCATATACTCAAAACCCCGAGTAATTTTGCAGTTATCCCAGAAAAAAAGTAAGTTAAAAAAGGAGCCAATGCTATTACCAAAGAACTTGCCACTCCACAAACAAGAAACCTCATATTCACATCGTCATCATATATCTTTATTGCAGGAAGTGAACCAGACGAGCTTTCTTCATCATCCACAGGCTCCTCCATCTCAGGAACATCAACAGTGATTGTTGGGGACTCCCCAAGTATATTAGGGCCAAAATAGTCATTTACTTTTTGGTCATCATCAATATTATTTCGAAGACAGTGAAGCCTAAAAGAAGCCTCGGCAAGTTGAAAAGCATCCCAAGTATGACAAGACGAGCTGTGAATGAATGCATTTAAAAATGCAAACTTGTAAATATTTAGCGTAACATAATACCAAAAACCAGTCTACTGCTTTGACTTGATAAAAGTGAGAGTTCTTTTTTTCCTTCTTTTTTTCGTTTTTGGAGGGCGAAAAGAATATAAGCAACAGTCATAAAAAAATTACAAAACATGAACCGGAGGACCAAAAAAAAAAATTAAAAACTAGGTCATTGAGATATGATTTTACCTTTGTATTACAGAAAACAATGCATGACGAAAATGGCTGGCCTCATAGCATGAAAATGAGTTCTTCCAATACACTACATAAGGAATTCCCTGCAGAGATGAAAGTGATAGCCTCAAAAAAATCAAATTAACTCCTAAATTGTGTGGTCTTATTACAAAGTGAACATAGATTTGTGAAAACTACAAAAACATACAATCAAAATGTAATTATTATGTGTTAATACTATAGCCCTTCCCATAAGCAACAAACATTTTGAGAACCTTCCTTATTTTGGTAAAAAATGTTAGTGTTAAGCCCCCCTAATTTTAAGATAGAATCAAATCTCAAGAGCTTTATTTGTAATATAATTTTCAAAAACGGCTGTAACTTTTAATGAATAAATCAAACATCAGAAGCCCTGTTGTATTATCCCTAAGTAAAAAGTTAAAGTCACTGGTGTCCTTGATAATCACTTATAATTGTTCTGTACATTACCTTGGATTGAAGAGACTTGGCAAACCTTTCACCATTCGGTACTTCCAAATAAACCTTCATCAAGATTTAAGAGTGCCAATCCAATTAGATAAAACATGAGAAACATAGCTACCGGCTAACATTTGATTGACAAGGGAGTCCGAATGAAAAGTGAAAAGAAAAAGAAAACAAAAGGATCATAAATATATAAGTGCAAATGGATTAGAACTATTCCGTGAGCAGCTACAAGATAATATTTTCAAAACTACAAAAATCGCCTTCTGGTTTGCAATGATCATAAAAATATCCCTCCCTCGAGGTTGTACATTCGTGCGACAAAATTCAGGCATTTTGTATTTTGATATATGCCTTTTTTTTTTTTACTTATGTAGTTAAGAGTAATTCTTAGGACTAGGTTATGCAATATTGATTGAAATTAATACAGTCCTCTAACACAAAAAAGACATTCAGCTTTGAAAGACAAACAACATAGACAGGCATAAAGCGGTAAGAGTAACAAAAAACATTAAAGAAAAAAAATTACATACAGTAGTTGGCAAAGTGGAGCTAAAAAGACCCGATAGAGCTTGGGGAGATGACAAATCGAGCCCTTCCCAGACGATTGACCCAACTTCATCATTTGGCAAATGCTTCCCTTGCAAGTACACAAGATTTGGCTGCCACAAATCTAGAACTTTCCGGAATTCTTCTATACTCGGGTTTTTCAGTGTTTGGACCTAAACAGTAAAATATGAAAACAATGTAATTCACATAGACGGATTAAACAAAAAATTCATTACAATAAGCTGTAATTTGGCACCTCTAGACGCCCGGAAGACACGATTTCTGGAAAAGGAAACTTTCTCTTCTCCTCTGAAACATTTTGATTCGGCTTATTCTCGGCACTTCTCGAACTTAAAACAGCAAGGAGATGGCAAGTGTTCTTAAAAGCTCCTTGAGTATGGAACATTTCCAAATTCACCCGCTCTTACTTAAGATACAAAATACAGTGAGGGGAAAAAATTCTTAAAAATTCCACTTCTCTACCATGGGGTTCTTCACTCCAATTCTAACACAAGTTCAAAACTTCTTCTCCAGAACAAAGAAAAAAGGGTCTAGAATTCAGACGTTATTGCCCGATCTGCAGAAAAGTAACTTTACATTACAATCCTAAATGAAACAGAATTAAGAAATAGATGCACAAAATCAATAAGCAGAAGTGTGTGAAGCCTTACCACGAAAAGCTTCCTACCAGATGACAAAAATGGCAGAAAATAACATAAGATTGAGAAAAGAAAAAACACAGAAGACAAAGGGAGAAAAACCTACCGACCCAGATGAAGAGATTGAGCAACTCCAACAACCCAGATGAAGAAATCAACAAAGATCGCAACTTTGCAACAAAAACAAGCATATATATTCATAAAGAGGACAGAAAACAAGAAACCCTAAATGCACCACCTTTTAATTCCAACCCCGACCCTTTAAAGAAAAAATCAATACCCAAAGAAAGTACAAAAGAAGAATTATGAAAAAAGAATAGGAAAATCGTGTATTTCAAGAATCTAATCTTATGGGATGAGCGACGATGGGCTTTCTCTATCCACCGCTAAATCAACACCATCGAAAAAAAAAGGAAAAAAAAAATCATCATTACTAAAATATAACAACGACCTAAATTTTCTTCTTGACGATTTTGTTGTGTTAGTAGTATGATTACTTGGAATGCAAATGCTGGGAGCCTGGGACAGCTTTCAAGCAGTAATTTTTAGTTGCATTTTTGTGCATTAATCCTAGTCAAACTGCACAAACATTAAAATCAATTTTCTTTTATCCTAACAAATCAAATTGATTTGTTTTTTGTGTTATAACTGCTTTTGTTAAAGTTCTGTGCCTGTGTTTTCCAAGAAATTGTGAGAGCAGTTTTATTTGATTAGTTATAAACTTATAACTAATAGAACATTTGGATTTCTAAATGAAAAAATTAAAATTATTAAATTTGGGATGAAGAGTTTTCTTCTGGGTGCTTATAAGATGTCGATTTCCATAGCGATGTTTTCAACTTTTGTGAGCAACTTTGTTTGACAATATATCTCAAGAAATTGGTCCCAATATTCCTCTGGTGAAATATAGGAAAATATAAAGTTGTAAACGGTATGAATGTTCGAGAACAAAAGCTTATTCGAATTTGAGCTTTGAATTTGAATAAGGCTTGTTGTTTTGTTAACTAAGTCGAGCTCGAATGACATTTTAAGCTTACTTGTAAATTAAACATGAACATATTTACGAACGTTTGATAATCTACTTGAATAGTAATTTAGAATTTTTTTTATTTATATGTATAATATTTTTAATAAAAGATTTATGCAAAAAAAATATACAATATTTCAATTATCGAGCTCGAACGATTTCGATCAAGCCAAACTCGAGTTGATATAACAACTTCAACTATCTTGTTTACTAATTTTTTCAAACACCAACGAGCTCATACTTAGGCAACCGAACAGAATTTTAGTTCGAATATTGCATGAGCAAACATGAAACAATGTTTGAACATAAACGAGCACGGGTTCGAACGTTGACAATCGATCACAATTTTAGTTCGAATATTACATAAATGAACACAGAACAATGTTTGAACATTAAAATTTCAGACATCAAAAAATTTTCACCATGTACTGTTTTAGTAATAAGCAAAACTTCAGCATGCATACCTGTTAGCAAACCCACCTAAAACTGTGCCAAAATAAAACCTGATCCAATCAGTGTTTCCAATCATTATATACCGGGACGAAAAAAATTTAAAAAAAAAAAAAAAAAAAATATCTAAACCAAACACTTGTCATATAGGTGGATGAGCTCGTCACTCACTACCGATGGTGTTAAGACGCCTAAATCAGTAAAGAGTAAGGTAAGAAACTGTGGAGGTGTGTAATCCCTAGCAGATGTTTCAACCTCGACTCCTGAAGGAATCGGGACTCCAAAATCGATCGGACGCAAAGCAGGCACCATGTCTTTTTGATCCAATGGATAAAGCCGAGCAAACTGCAATAACATCATAACCTCATGGTTAGCAGAAATTATACGACCCCTCATCGCCTCAAACTAGTGCCCACAAAAAGCATTAGCCTTTTTAGAAGGCATGATAATTGCACTTTCGGTTCCACCCAACTAAGATCGAGATCCTTGTTTTTTGTCCCACAACTTGCGAACTTGGTCTTAATGTTAAAAGGCTAAGCAGAATTTGTCCCTCAAGAATCAATTGTTGCATTAGTGCAACATCTTTAAGTAAATAGAATATGAAAATAAAAGCTAAAAGCCGAATTTGTTATCATAATATCCAATGAATAAGTGACCATAAGTGACACTTGATTGTGAAATTAAAACGAGCATTTTAGATTCTCATTAGATTGCGAAACATTGCATTTTGAAAAGACTACCTTTTTATTTAACAGCCGATAACCATCAGCCATAAAATGGTTTTAGTCTCCTTCGATAAGTAAGGGAGTGCCACAAAAAGCATTAGCCTTTTTAGAAGTTGTGATTCGTTGGGCGAAAGTAAAAAAGTAGTCACCCAATTAAGATTGAGATCCTGAGGTTTTTTTATCCCATAATCTGCGAACTTAGTCTTAATGTTAAAAAGCTAAGCAGAATTTGTCCCTCAAGAATCAATTGTTGCATTAGTGCAGGAAGAAAGAAAAGGTCTCAGGTGTGATACCAGAAGCAGGGAAGAGATTTTTTTTTTTTGGCAGCACTTTTAAGTAAATAATATTTGATAATAAAAGCTAAAAGCCGAATTTGTTATCTTAATATCCAACGAATAAGTAACCATAAGTGACTATTGTGAAATTAAAACGAGAAGCAGAACATGACATTTTAGATTCTCATTAGACTGTGAAGCAGCAATCATAAAAGATTAATCATCATTCATTTGAGTTACCTTGTAACTCTCGGCAGCAACATAAACCGGCTTGTTCGTGCTTTTGGCAATCAGTGCAATTTGATAGGTTCCCATCATATTTATTATGCCGCCATTCTCAACCACACCATCGGCCCCCACAAGCACCATGTCTATTTCATCCATATTATATGCCGCAGCAGAGTCTATTAAGAGCTTAACAGGAACATCGATCTTAGCTAGCTCATTGGATAACAGTAATCCTGTCCTTTCTGGTCTTCCCTCTGCATTTAAGAGTCGTATAAGTATCTAACTGCTTGTTTCANATAGAACCAAGAATCTCATTTTTTTTGTTGGAAATGTTACTAGTTTTCAGTTAATATAACAGAAAATCTTAGCTAGCTCATTGGATAACAGTAATCCAGTCCTTTCTGGCCTTCCCTCTGCATTTAAGAGTCGTACAAGTATCTAGCTTCTTGTTTAAATCGAGTAAAAGTTTTAATACAAAAGAGGGAATGTCAATATATATTATATAATACGTAATTGAAACTTGATCATGCTAAAAATATGAATAGAAGTGGTCAAGTTAATGTGTTGATAAGAGGTAAGACAGTAAAAAGGGATATTGAATAAGATAGAACCAAGATTCTTATTTTTTTTCTTGGAAATATTACTAGTTTTCAGTTAGTATAACAGAAAAATCAAAAGGATGACTTTAGGACAGTAAAGAATCAAATATTTTGAAATCGATTTCATTTTACACAGAGGTGTAATCAGAAAACAACTTAAGTTGATACACATTCATATTCGGTTACTTACACACCTGTACAGAACACTCGAAATAATTTTTTACTTTGTGCCGCCATTCTCAAAACCTCAAGCACCACTCTAGAGAAGCCATGCACCAATATGGTACAACCATCGAAAATGAAATCTTGACTGAGCTTGGCAATTTTTCTGCGAGCCTGAAACAGATGAAATTTTAAAGCTTATTAAGGGTAGTTTATAGTTTCGACCCACGCAGACAAGTGGAGAACGAGCAACAGTGCATAATAAAACCTTATATGAAATATTGCCAAACTTCTCAGCACGCTCGAGAAGCCAAGACTTTGTAGAATTGAAGTCTTCATCTTCCAAAGCCGATGTTTTTTTCACATAGCGCATGAAGAGGTCACAACCAGCTGTTAGAGAGATGGAAGTCCCATCCCATGACTGCATAATAATTTCAACATATTCTTATCACACTCTTGATTGATTGATTCACATATATCATTGTTTCATCACCATCATCATCATCTATTTTTTTTCATCAAAAGAACAACTTTTTACTCAACAAGATCCTCCACCGCAGACCCCCAGGAATTTATTTTTGAAGAAAATGTTTATTCATCTTCACTATATGAAAAGTATAAGATTGTCTTTTTTTCATCTTCACTATTGACGAGTGAATGCTTCATTAAACTCGGGCAAATTAAAATTCAACTGTTCCAAAAATGAAAAAGAAAAAAAAAATGTTCCCCTACTTTGAGTGAATCGGAGGCCTTCTTAAGCTCAATCTGTAGCTCCATCATCGTGGTAGCTTGACTCGACCGAATGACCGAAGCCAGAGCCCTGGTCGCCGCCACCGCCTCCGCCATCTCCGGCTGCGCACGCCACCTGTTGAACTCATCCACCACGCTGAAACCCTTGTCCCCGTCATCGTCGCCCGGAACGCCATCGACCTCCGAGGCCGCGGCGGCCCGCGCCTGATCCAGCCAGTCGCTCGTGACGACGCCGTGCTGTGCCGCTCGAGTCTGGTAGTACATCGAGATGTTACTAGGGTTAGCGGCGCCGGCGGCCGCGGCGGGAGGCCCCCCTCCGGGAATGCTTACGGCGTCCTCCGGCCGCCGCTGCAGCTGACTGTCGCGGATGAATGAGGCCGATCTGTACCACATCTGTTATGGAGATTTAAGCGGTTATGGAGATTTGATTTTGATTAGAACTCAATATGGGGTTTATCGTGAGTCGTGACAGGGTTTTGCAGGGTGCAACATTAACAGCTAGCGGTACTTATGACGTAATTTTTTGGAAAAAAAAATTGAATTTATATTACAATTTTATCATATTCAAATAAACTAAAACTTCGTTTGTAGAATAATCTTTTTTTTTTTAGAAAAAGTTGAATTTGCCTCACAAGTTTTATTTATGTATTTTTTTTTTAAATATTCATTGAAATTTTTATTTCAATTTATGTAACGATTAATTTTATTTTACATTTTTAATATATTATTATATAATTTTTTTCGGCCATCAATAAACTATCATTTATAATAATTATCAATTAAATTTTTAGTTGTCAAATCTCCCAAATACCTAAAATGTAGGTTATAAGTTCGAAATAACTTATGCTAGATCAATTAACTTATAAGTTAATTGATAATTTTCTAATAAATCAAATTTAAAAATTATGGTAATAAAAACATGACAATCATATTATATTCATGTAGTTTTATCGAGTAGCTATCTATATATATATAATTACTAGCTCAAAACATTTAATAAAACCTATTTAATTTTACTTATGTGGCAATTTAACAATTTTCCCTCCAAAAACCGTTGCACTTTGATGTATTTAATCTTTCATTTAATCATTAAATAATTAATACTCATCACTTTAAAATTACAAAAATTATTTTAAATTTTTGATTAATGACAGTTGACCATATAATGTGTTGACCGTATAATGTGATTAGATGTTATTATTGTTGTTATATTTAATTTATTTTTTTTGAAAATAAAAAATATATCTATATCTATATATATATAATTACTAGCTCAAAACATTTAATAAAACCTATTTAATTTTACCTATGTGGCAATTTAACAATTTTCCCTCCAAAAACCGTTACACTTTGATGTATTTAATCTTTCATTTAATCATTAAATAATTAATACTCATCACTTTAAAATTACAAAAATTATTTTAAACTTTTGATTAATGACAGTTGACCATATAATGTGTTGACCGTATAATGTGATTAGATGTTATTATTGTTGTTACATTTAATTTTTTTTTTTGAAAATAAAAAATATATCTATATATATATAATTACTAGCTCAAAACATTTAATAAAACCTATTTAATTTTACCTATGTGGCAATTTAACAATTTTCCCTCCAAAAACCGTTACATTTTGATGTATTTAATCTTTCATTTAATCATTAAATAATTAATACTCATCACTTTAAAATTACAAAAATTATTTTAAACTTTTGATTAATGACAGTTGACCATATAATGTGTTGACCGTATAATGTGATTAGATGTTATTATTGTTGTTACATTTTATTTTTTTTTTTGAAAATAAAAAATATATCTATATATATATAATTACTAGCTCAAAACATTTAATAAAACCTATTTAATTTTACCTATGTGGCAATTTAACAATTTTCCCTCCAAAAACCGTTACATTTTGATGTATTTAATCTTTCATTTAATCATTAAATAATTAATACTCATCACTTTAAAATTACAAAAATTATTTTAAACTTTTGATTAATGACAGTTGACCATATAATGTGTTGACCGTATAATGTGATTAGATGTTATTATTGTTGTTACATTTAATTTTTTTTTTGAAAATAAAAATATATTTGAAATTTTTAAATAAATAATAAATAATTCACAAATAAAAGACGTACCAAAATAAACATTACATCCAATTAGATAAACGTAATTTTAAAAAAAATATTCCAACTCTTTTAAGTAAATTTGGTCTGCAAAAAAGTGAAAGAAAAATAATTAATCATTATATGCATACAGACTCACAATAATTTATTTATATCTGTGCAAATGCACAGGTCAGCATACTAGTTTTAATAAAGTCATGAAAGAAACAAACACGTAGTTTGAAGATAAAATATAGTAACCGACACATATAAATGCACAATATTTTCACAATCAATGTTACATATTTATCATTTTAATATCAAATATTCGCTATCTTTAATTCATGGGGTATTGATTTACTTTCTTAATCAAAATCAAGATTTTATGCTGTTGCCATATGTATATATGGAATTTTGTCATTTTCTATTTAAAATAAATTCCACTAAAGACTGCAAATAAAGTTTGGTTAGTTGTGAATCTCCCAAGCAATCACCTTCGTTTCCAATGGAAAATCATCGATATGATCAGGTAAGTTTGATCTCTTTTTTGTTTTCAATTATTTTTCTTTCAGATTTCTATGTACCTTTGTTTTT